AGAAGAAAATAGAGAGCACTTCCTCACGAATTCGTCACACAGAGACATCCAAAATTCCAGCCTTCGAGGAATCGACCCGGATCGCTGCCGGGAACGCCCAAGACGCGAACCCGACGCGAGATCGCCTCACTTTTACGCACGCGTAAACACAACACCCACATACAACATGTCTGGCAGAGGTAAAGGAGGCAAGGGGCTCGGAAAGGGCGGCGCCAAGCGCCACCGCAAGGTCCTTCGCGACAACATCCAGGGCATCACGAAGCCGGCGATCCGCCGTCTCGCACGCCGTGGTGGTGTCAAGCGCATCTCCGGTCTCATCTACGAGGAGACCCGCGGTGTCCTCAAGGTGTTCCTCGAGAACGTGATCCGCGATGCGGTCACCTACACCGAGCACGCCCGCCGCAAGACCGTCACCGCGATGGACGTCGTCTACGCGCTCAAGCGCCAGGGCCGCACCCTCTACGGCTTCGGCGGCTAAACAGCCACCCCGAACGCCAACAGAGACGCTCCACTTCAACTTCAAAAACACACGACGTCGCGAAGGCTTCGCGCCCGCGACGCACACAATGGTGATAAATAATCACCACCACTTCACGAGAACAATTAAAATAAACACATCACGCGCCCTTGTGCGAACGTCCTCGTCCTCCCGCGATCGTTCGAGACGCGCGGAAGACGTGCGTCGCCGCCGCCGCGGCTGCGCGAAATCGAATAAATATTTCAAACGCGCCGCGAACGCGCGCCACTGGCGACCGCGTTCGCTCCCGTCGTCGACCTCCGCGAGCGCGCGCGGGGGGTTCCAACCGTCTAAATCGTTTCATACCGCGTCTCACGCCGCCCATCGCGGCGGTCCTCTCTCTCATACGCGATCGATCGAACGGTAAACACTTGCGAACCTTCCTCCCCCCGCCTGTTTTTTGCACGGCAGAGACAGCCAAGGACATCGACCGACCCGAACCGAAGAGACGGTGATGACGTTTCGGCACTCCCGCGCAGTCGTCCCCGCGCGCGTCCGCGGAGGGAGCGGCGAGGCGGAGCGGCCGCCGGAGCGTCGTCCTCGTTCGCGCGGCGCGGCGCCGGACGGACGACCTCGCGCGCGTCCGCGGTCGCGCGCCCTCCCCGTCGCGTCGTCGTCGGCGGCCGAGCGCGAGCGCGAGCGGATCTTGAGAGTCTAGCTAGAAACACGTCGATCAATCGCGTCCGCGACGATGGCGACGCAGCGCGGAGCGCTGAAGCGCATCAAGGGCTTCCCCGGGTTCGTCGTCGACGGGTTCAACTACCAGTCCCCGGACGTGCGCGCGTACTTCCTGACGCACTTCCACAGCGACCACACCACGGGCTTGCACCCCGGGTTCAGAGGCCCCGCGCCGATATACTGCTCGCCCGTCACCGCGTCGCTCCTCGTCGAGGTCCTGGGCGTCGACCCCGACCTCGTGCGCGCGGTGCCGACGCGCACGCCGACGCGCGTGGACACCGCGGACGGGTCGCACGCGATCGTGACCTTCTTAGACGCGAACCACTGCCCCGGCGCGGTGCTGGTGTACATGAAGCACGCGAGGACGTCGCGCACGGCGCTGCACACCGGCGACTTTCGCGCGGCGGAGCGCGTCCGCGAGGACCCCGCGCTGCACGATCTCATCGCCGCCGACGGCGCGATCGGGGAGCTGCTGTTGGACACGACGTACTGCGATCCGCGATGGGCGTTCCCGACGCAAGAGGACGTCTGCGAGACGCTGGGGGAGATCGTGAGAGAGGAACTGCGACGCGAGCCGCGGACGCTGTTTCTCGTGGGGTCGTACAGCATAGGGAAGGAGAAAGCCGTGGCGGCCGTGGCCAGGGCCGCGGGGTCGCGCGCCGAGGTCGGCGAGCGCAGGGCGAAGACGTTGAGGCTGTGCGGGTGGTGGGACGACGATCTGTTCGTGCTCCGACGCGAGCGGCGCGACGGCGACGGCGTGGACGAGGACGCGGGAGGAGAGGCGCGAGACGGCGGCGGCGGGGAGGAACGGCAACGGCCGCGCGTGAGGGTCGTTCCCATGGGCGGCGGGTCGCAGCACGACGCCATGGCGCGGACGCTGCGCGATGAGATCGACCCGCGCACGGGCGCGCCGAGGTGGCGCGCGGTGTGCGCGTTCCGTCCCACGGGATGGTCCTTCTCGAGGCGGAAGGAAGCCAACGCGGACGTCGGACGCGTCGCGGGCGCGGGCGCGAAAACGCGCGCGCGACCGCTTCCTCCCGCGGACGACGACGGGTTCGTCGTGGTGAAGCTCGAGGACGGCTCCGATCGCGATCGCGTCGCTCGGGTCAAATCCGAGCCGCGGGACGCGATGATGGAATCGGTCGGTCGCGGCGACGGCGACGGCGCCGCGGCGCTCGTCGCGGAGGCGTACCGCCCGTGGATCTCGAACGACGGCGCGACGCGGACGTACTCGATACCGTACAGCGAGCACTCCTCGTTCGACGAGCTCGTGGCGTTCGTGAAGCGCGTTCGACCGAGGAAGGTGACGCCCACGGTCAACGCGGACACCCCGGAGGACCGGGACAAGCTCGCGAAATATTTTTTGCCGTTCACGGACCTCAAGGCGGACAGAGCGCGGCTGGATCATTACTTCCGCGCGCCGCCTCCGCGAAGCCTCGCGCCGAGCGACGCCGCGCCCGCGCTGCCGGCGCCCGAGACGGGAACGGAGCTCGCCGCGCGGTCTGAGGAGGCGACCGGCGCCGGCGGCGTCGACGCGGACGTCCTCGCCGCGCTCGAAGGCGTCCTGACCCCGGCGGAGTTGAGAGCGCAGGCGGCGCTGTGGGCGGAGGCGACGAGACCGAAGTCGAACTCGCGCGCCGGCGACGCGCCCGAGAGCTCGGGCGATCTCGGCCCGTTCCCGCTCGGGTGCGTCGCGCTCGTCCGCGGCGGTTCCGGCGGTTTCGGCGGGAACGGCCCGCGGTACGCGCAGTTTAAGGACAAGGCGCACGTGGAGCGACGGCTGAGAGAGCTCGGCGCGTCGTGCGTCGCGCGGATGAGCGTCAAGGTGACGCACGTCGTCGTCCCGTCGGGCGGGGAGGCGCTCGCGGAGGAGCGACGGCGGCACGGCGGCGCCGGGTCCGTCGTCGTCGTCACCGAGGGGTGGGTGATGCGTCATCACCGCGCGGCGACGACGGGCGCCGCGGCGACGCACCCACCGGACGTGATATCCGCGCACAGGGTCGCGGCGGCGCGGGAGAGGAAACGCGAGGCGAGCGAGAAGTACGCCGCGGCGAAGCGAAGGAAGGAGGAGAAGCGCGCGACGGCGGCGGCGGCGGCGACGGCGGCGACGACGTAGGTCAACCGAGAGAGAATCGATCGATCGTGTAGAGCTAGCTTATATTAGCGCGTCGATCCCCTCTCTCCTCCTCCAGTCGTCTTCGCGTCCGCGCGCGTCGATCGGATCGCGGTCGGCCTCGCGCGATCGATCACAGGATCAGCTTCAGACCCGGCCCGGTGTTGTTGTAAAAGTCGCCGATCCACTCCCGCCCGTCCTTGTCCACGAACGTCCCTTTCCCGTGCATGACGTTCTCGACGAACTCGCCCTGGTACTTTGATCCGTCCGGCCAGACGTACGTCCCCGCGCCGTCGTACTTGTTCGCCTTCCAGTTCCCCTCGTACTTCGCCCCGGAGACGTACTCGAACACGCCCGCGCCCTCCATGGCGTCTTGGACCCACTCGCCGTCGTACACGCCGCCCGCGCAGGTGGACCTCCCCACGCCGTGGCGGCAGTACGTCTTCAGCTCGACGGGCTCCTCGCCCTCCTCGGGCGCGGGCGGCTCCGGCGGGACCTCGCCCTCGCCGTACACGCGCTCCGCCCACTCGCCGTCGTACTTGTCCTCGCCGTTCGGGTACACGAACACCCCGCGCGGGGGGGCTTCGACTTCTTCGCCCTCGGGCGCTGCCTCCGCCATCGTCGTCGTCGGCGTCCGCGCGCGCGAAGGAATGATTGCCGCTCGATTTGGAAGAGCGGCGAAGATTCCATACGAAATTACGCGTACACGTACTCTATGGGTTTTTAGTCTGAATCGAACGAAAGCGCGACCCGTCTATCGGCCGGTTCAGGTCGCGAACTCTGCCGGGATGTCGCTCTCGGAGCTCCAAACGGTACTGTGTCCCCCCGCGGCAGAACGGGGCGCGCGAGGGCGCGGAGGCGATGGTTTCCACCCAGGTCCAGCGCGAGAGCCTGACCCGGGTGCACATCAAATGGCTCCTCGGTCTGAGCCTCTCCGCGCCGATCAAGAACGCGAAGCGGTGCGCGCGCGCGCGATCTCCCGCGCGTTTGCGGAGTCGAACATGCCGCGTCCGATTTCGGGGACTTTTTTTCGTCGCGCGTCCTCTCGTTGACCCACGTCCCCCGCCCCCGGGTTTCTTCGCAGGGACTTCTCGAACGGGTACATCGTCGCGGAGATACTGTCGAAGTACTTCCCCTCGGACATATCCCTGCACAGCTTCGACGACAAGTGCACGGGAGAGAAGAACAAGCGCGAGAACTGGCAGCTCCTCGCGAAGGTGTTCAAGCGACGTGGCATCGACGTCCCGTCGCACGAGTGGGAGGACGTCATGAACTGCGAGGAAGGCGCCGCGACGGTGCTGGTGGACAAGCTCCACAATGCCTTAGCCGGCGGCGGCGTGAGCACGTCTCGAGGCGCGTCGCGGCAAGGGCAGGCGCAGCGCGGCGGCGGCGGTAGGATCCTGTCCCCGCACGAGATGGCGAGCGACGCGTCGCCGGCGTACTCGGACCGCGGCGAGGTCGGGTTCGTCATGGGCGGGTCGTCCCCCGGATTAGTCACGAGCCAAGGCGGGTTCGACTGGGAGGCGTACAAGCGCGAGTTCGGCACGGTGAACGGCGGACCGCCGGCGGCGTCGCCGTCGCCGTCGCCGCCGCCGCCGCAACGGCCGGCGCAGAGGCCACCGCCGCCGCGGATGCTGCGGCAGGGCGTCGGCGTGGGCGGGAGACGACCGGGACCCTCGCGCGGGGTCTCCCCCGCGCCGCCGTCGTCCGAGCCGTCGCCGTCGTACGCGCGAGGCGGTCACGGCGGCGGCAGAGGGACGCGGGGGGAGGACAGCTACGGCGGCGGCGACGATCCGTTCCGCCCGACGCCGTCCGGGTACGACGCGATGGGCATGGGCGGCGGGTACGGCGCCGGCGCGGAGGAATCCCTCCTGGACTGGGGCCCGGACCTCCCCGCGGACACGTTCGGCGGCGCCGTCGGGAACGCGGGGTACGGCGGCGCGTCCACGGATTACGCCGCGCGCGCGCGAACGGGGGGCGGAGGATACGACGCGAGCGGCGCGATGTACGCCGGGATGCCGAACGAATCGTACGGCGACGGGTACGGGGGTTTCGAGGGCATGCACGCCGCGGAGTTTGGGTTCGCGCCGCCGGAGCCGCAACCCGGGTATCGTCCTCCCGTCGACGATCCGGAGCCGTCTCGAAGGCGACCGCCGGCGAAGAAGCCGACGCAGAACGGGTTCGGGTCCGCCGTCGGCGCCGGCGCGGACCGCGGACTGATGCCGTCCAAGCCGGGCGCCAAAAAAGCGACGCCCGCGAGGCGGCCGTCGCACAGCGCGGGCGACCACGGAGTGCAGTCGTCCGGGTACGGGCAAACCCCGGGAGGAGGGACGAGGGCGAGAACCGCGGGGAGCGGCGGGAAGCGCGTGCCGTTGACGCGACGGCCGCTGCCGAGGGCGGAGAAGAAACTTCCGCCGTCGCTCGCGAAGGAAGACTCGAACAGCAGCGGCAAGTACGTGCATCACAACGGCTCGAATAAAGAGTGGGTCGGGTTAGGACCGAACGTGCGCGGGCCCGCGGGAGGGTACTCGTTCATCGTCAACGGCGAACGCGCCGAGACGTACTCGAAACCGAACGACGGGCCGTGGCAAAACGCGTTGCGGTCGGACATTCGACAGGAAAACTTGTACACCGAGGGAAGCGCGTACGACGACGGGTTTTACCACGGCTCCGCGCTACCGGACCTCGGCGGGTACGGCGCGGCGTCGCTTCCCGCGGGGGCTTCCCCGGGAGGGAGGCAAACGGTGTCCGCGGGCGCGGGCGGCGGCGCCGCGAAACTGTCGTACCGCGAGATTCGCGGCGGGATCGACTACGAGCCCGGACGGCCGGAGACGTACCAGCGCGTCCTCGGGCAGGACGGGACGTACTGGACGCAAGGCTCGCTCGGTGGGACCGTGGACTCGGAGGAGCAGATCCGAGCGAGGGAGAAGCGCGAGGCGATAAAAGAGATGGACCGGCAAGTGCGCGCGGAGAACGCGCGGCGGTTTGAGGCGCGTTCTATACACTGGTCCCCATACGACCGCGTTGGCGTGGTGAACGCCGATCCTTAAGGACTTTGCCCGGCGCTTGTGTCCGCCCACCCCCCGCTTTCAACGCCCGACCTCGATGCCTTTCAACTCCAACTGACGCCTTTGAACTCCACCCCGACAATGCTTTGTATGGAACGGCCCTGAGGCGGCGAAAGCGCGCGAGGCGGCGAAACCGAAGTCTCCGCCGAGCGAGCGGTTCAACGTCTTCTACAAACAGCCCGGGGAGGACGCGCTGCTGGCGCAGTACCGCAGAGAGATGTACGCGAAGAGCGTGCCGAAGCCGACGCCGGCGGCGCCGAAGCCGCCGCCCGCGCCGCCGCCGCGGCGGAAGCCGACCGCCGCGGACCTCGCCGCGAAGGAGGAGGCGGCCGCGCGCGAGCAGGCGCGGCTCATGGACTACGTCTACGGCGGCGAGCTCAGCGGCGACGACGGATTCGACGGCGGGATGACCGAGTTGGAGAGGCTCACGATGGAGCACCGGATGCACCAAGAGAAGCTCGCGGCTTTGGCGAACAAGCACAGGGTGCGGTGACGACGACGACGACGACGTGTTACTTGGGGTGTTTCTTTGTGGTTTCGAGCGAAACAAACCGCTACGCTGCTAAGCGCGTCTCGTTTTTCGTGCGTCTCACGAGTCGCTGGCGCTGCCGTACCCCGCGAGAAGCCCGCCGAGCACGCCGCCCGCGTCGGCGTCGGCGTCGGCGTCGCGTCCTCCGTCGTTTTCTCCGTCTTTTCCCGCCTCCGCCTGCGTGGGTGAAGCGATCGGTCAGTCGAACGTCTTACCGGTCAAACGTTGAAAGGGAAACGCGGGTGAAGAGTGACGACGGGAAAAGTCCTTAAGGAACGACGTGCACCACGCGAACGGGGTCGTATGGGAAGCAGTCTCACCTCCGCCGCCGTCGCCTCCGCCTCCGCCGCCGCCGCCTTCGGCTCTCCCTTCGCGACGACGCTCAGCTTCGGCTTGGCCTTCACGACGACGACCCCGCCCGGCGCCCTCGGCTTCTTGCTCGCGCCGAGACCGCCCGCGAGCTCGGACGCGCGCTTGACGCCGCCGGCGGCGGCGGCGGCGGGCGGCGGCTTCGCCTTGCGAATCACCTGCGCCTCCCTCGCCGCCTTGAACGCGTCCACCTCGCTCTTCTCTCTCTCCTCCGCGCGTCGCTCTTCCGATCGCTTCCGCGTCTCGACCTCGTCTATGAACTCCGCCTCCTCGTCGTCCAGAGGCTTGTACACGCCCTGCTTCATCGTCTTCCACCCCTCCTCGAACGCCTCCTGCTTCGCGTCTTTCGCCTCCTGGAGCACCGCCCAGAGCGTCTTGTCCGCCTCCATCGTCCCGTCCTCCGGGCGCAGCGCGCCGCCTCGCTTCGCCTTGATCTCCATGAGCTCCGTCTCCGTGACGAAGTTCATCGACCCGACGATCGCTTGCGTCGCGGAGACGACCTTTTCCGCCTCCTCCTGCGCCATCGAAGGGAACACGCTCGCGGCGTCGCGGCCGAGGATCTTCTCGCGGTCGTACACGCGCTCGGGCTGCTCGATCCGGACCATCGGGACGCTGTCGTCTCTCTCCATTCCGGGCGCGTTCGCGCCGGGGGGGGGGGGGGGGATCATCGCGGCGGCGGGGATGACGCGCGTCCGTCGTCCCTTCCGCGCGGCGGCGAGTGGCCAGATTCGCGAGCGGCCGATGAGTGAGCGAGTCCGTCAGAGTTGACATGAGTTTGTTCGTTCGTTCGCTTACGATTACGTGTACGTGTACTCACAACCGCCAGAGCCCTACACCCCCTTCGGCGCGCCCAACCGCGACGAGATGTCCGCGAACGTCGGCCGCTTCTCCCGCGGACCGACGCACTCCTTCACCATCTCTCTCAGCGCGTCTATCGTCACCGAGCCGCCGCCGTCGTCTTTCCCGTCGTGCCGCGACAGGAGCTCCTGGAGGAGAATCCCGAACGCGCGCGCCTCGATCCGCTCGAACGCGCGTCCAAACTCAGACCCGGGCGGGTAGAAGAACGCCGCGCCAAAGTCGCTGAGCTTCGCCGCGGGCGGCTTCGGACGCGAGTGCGCTCTGCCCACGGCGTCGCTGCGAAACATGATGTTGTGCGCGTACAGATCGCCGTGGCACACCCCCGCGCCGTGCAGCGCCGCGCCCGCGGCGGCGACGCCCCTCGCCACCTCGACGATCTCCCCTCGCGACCGCGTCACGTTACTCGAGTACGTGTCCCTCGTCACGCTGTCGAACGAGGGCGGCGACCCGAGAGAGACCCACTCGTCTTGTTCCAGAAACTCCATGACTAACCCTTCCTCCGGGAACCCGTCGCGCTCGTTCCGTAGCGTCCACTCCTTTTGAAACGTCGCGATCGTGCGCACGATGGACTTACACCCCGTCTTCGACGCTAATATGGACGCGTGCATCTCGTCCTTCGGTCGCCCGTCCGAGGTCTTCGCGCCGTGGTTGTACACCTTGACCGCGGCCGGCGTCGGCACGACGCGGTACACGTTCGGGCACGAGTCGTACGCGTTCAGCGGCTCTTCTTTCAACCACAGCCCCGGGTAGACGGCGCCCGACGCGCCGCGTCCCAACGGCGTCTCCGACTCGTCCACGCGCAGAGATTCGAACGCGAGCGTCGGCACCTCCGGGACGGGCACCAGCGCGGCCATGTTCGTGTGCTCCCTTCCTATCGTCCCGTGGACGTGCGGCGGAACGGTCGCGGTCGCCTTGGCGCGTTTCTCCGCGTCCGCCGCCCACGGCGCCGCGACGGGGTTGGCCGCGAGCGCGACCCACGCGAGCGCGTCGTGGTTCGCGAGCCACTCCGGGACGGACGTCAGCTCGTTGTCCGCGATGCGCAGGAGCTCGAGCTGGCGGAGATTTTTCTGTGACGCGCGGAGACGATCGATGCGCGGGCGGGGGAGGGGTCAGGGGACGCGTCGGGGGGGAGGGGGGACGACGACGACGACGACGCGTGGAAGCCGAAAACCAAAATAACTAAACCAAAAAAAACCGAACCGAAACCGCAACCGTCGCGTCGGGTCGGGTCGACGCGCCATCCCGTCCGGCAACCCCGCGTTCGTGAGCTTGTTCCCCGCGAGCAGGAGCTTCCGAATTCCGACGCACTCGCCGATGCACGCCGGCAGTTTCTCGATCTCGTTGTCGCTCAAGATGAGCCACCCGAGCGACGGCGGGAGGCACCCTTCCGGGACGTCCCTCACGCGATTGGCCTTGAAGCTGAGCATGAACAGCGACTTCATGCGTCCGAGCACGACCGGGACGGCCACGAACTCGCACCGAAGGAAGAACAGCACGCGAAGGTTCACGAGCCCGTCGAAGGATTCGGGAAGCGACGACAGCGGGTTGTCCCCGAGGTTCAAAAACTCCAGCGACGTCAGCGCCCCGATCTTCTCAGGCAGCCGCGCGAGATCGCACCCGGACAGGTCGAGCCTCGTGACGCCGCTCTTCGCGAGCGAGCCGTCCTCGATGGCGGCGAGCACGCGGGTCTTCCGCGCCTCCGGGGTTTCCCCATCCTGCAGCGCCGCCTCGCTGTTCGCGATGTCGCGCTGGACGATCGACTTCGACGGCGACGGCGACGGCGTCGGCATCGCGAGCGCTCGGAGTGACGGGTGGTTCGCGTGCAGCACGAAGCGAGGCGAGGCGCGTGTGTTAGGTGCGTTCTATACAAAAGTTTTTCACCCATCGCCCGGTTTCAACATTTGATCGCGTCCCCTTTCAACTGACCGGAGAACTGTTTTTGTATGGAACGGCCCTTAAAATTGAAATGAATGTTAACTCCCGTGCGTCGGCTCGCCGGCCCGTCCGACGCCTCTCTCTCTCCGCAACCCGTCCACCCGACCCTCCCTCCGCGCGCGTACGGTCAGTACCCCACGGTCACCGCCGCGACGGCGATCACGAAATCGTCGTTGACGTCGCCCATCTCCGCGATGGCGATCCCGCTCTTCGCGAGCAACCCCCCCGCGTCCACCCGCACCGGCTCGACGATCCGCCCGTACGGGAACACCGCCTTGACGCTCTCGAGATCGACCTCGTGCCCGGCCGGGACCCCGAGATGTATGTGCAGCTTCATGTTGTCGTACCCGCCCGGGACGACCGCGCGTATGCTCGGGATCGAGTTGAACTCGATCGCGTTTCGACACGCGCGCACGGCGGCTTTCGTCGCGTCCTGGCCGTGCTGGTCCGCGCCAATGCCGCACTCCACGAAGAGGACCTGGGTCATGCCCATCTCCGAGGGCGGAGACGCGGTGGGGGCGCCCTCGTCCGCGCCGGCGTCGGCGGGCGTCGCCGCGGTTCGCGTCGTGGACGCGAACGCGCGCGCGGCGGGGGGGACGGACGGGGCGCGCCATCCCGCGGACGCCGGATGGCTTTTCGCCGTCACGCCGCGCAGGGACGCCGCGGCGGCGCGGGCGGCGGCGGCGACGACGCAGACGTTCGCGGTGAGCTGTAATGACGCGAACATCGAGCGATGGCGAGGCGCGTCGCGGCGGCCGGGGCGCGCGCGAGTGCGCGCGGGGAAACGACGGCGTCGACGTTCGCAAATCGGATATCGGAACGTCCGAGAGAGGGGAACCGCGACCGACAGTCACACTTCCATCCCGCGCGCGTCGGCGGGATGGACGACGACGACGATCCCCCGCGCGACGTCTTCGACGAGCGCGACGTCCGGAACCTTCACCTGTGGTTCGACGCGAGCGAGCGCGCGGACCCGAACCCGACGCGGTTCACCGAGACGGGCGCGCCCGCGCGCGCGACGCGCACGCTCTACCACGACCGCATCGCGTCGCGGTTTAGGGACGAGGACACGCTCATGACCGCGGGGCTGCACGCGCTGGAGGAGAAGCTCGGGCCGTTCCACCCCGACGTCGCGGAGCTGTGCGCGGAGCTCGGGAGGTTGCACGCGGCGGACGGAAACCTCGCGCGCGCGCTGTATCACGACGAGCGCGCGTGGCGAATCTACCGCGAGAAGCTGCACGGCGCGCGGCATCCCGTCACGCTCGCGGCGCAGGAGACGCTCGCGAGGACGCTCAACGCGGCTGGGAACCGCGCGCGGGGGGAGGCGCTCATGGCCGCCGCGAGAGACGCGCGCGAGGAGGAGGAGAGGGAGGACGGGAAGCGGGAGGACGGGAGCGCGGGGCGGCGAACGCGGGATTCAATCGCGACGACGCCGCCGCCGCCCGGCGACGCCCCGGGCAAAGAGAACGCGAACGCGACGACGTCCCTCCGACCCGCGGCGAAGGCGTCCACGGCGTCGCGGGCGATCGCGATCGGTCGCGCGCGTCTCGCGGACGACATCGCGCGCGCCGTGACCGTGACCGTCGCTCGCGAGGAGGGAGGACGAGGAGGGAGGACGGACGGACGGAGGGACCACGACGAAGTCCTTAAGGAACGGCGTTCACCACGCCAACGCGGTCGTATGGGGACCAGTCACGATCGTCGGACCCCGGTCGGGGCGCGGTCTTCGCCGGAGAAGCCGGCGTGGCGCGGCGGCGGCGCGGCGACGACGCGGCGACGCGCGGAGATGTCCCCGGACGCGGCGCCGCGCAGACGGAGGGTGTATCGAGAAGACTACAGGAAGCCGACGCGCGCCAAGGAGTCGACGACGAAACCGTTTCTGTGCGGCGGCGTGAATCAGACGCGCGGGAGCGGGCGCGCGCACACGCCGAGGAACGCGAATCCTTTCGCGTGGTATCCGGGCCGGTGAGGGTCGTGAAGGCGTTCGCTCGTTCGCGCTGCGGCATAGGTAGGAGCCTCGCTCGCTAGACTAGGTGATTCATAGGTAGGAGCGCTCGCGTTCAGTCCTCGAACCCTTCGTCGTCCCCGAGCTCGTGCTCCGCGATGTAAATCTGTTCGCGGTAGTACTCCGCCTCCGACCTCGACGGGCGCTGTTTCACGCCGTGGAACACCCCGAGCTGCGCGTCGTCGTGGTCGTCGACCGCGTCGGCGGCCTCGCCCGCTTTCCCCGCCCCTCCATCGGGCGTCAACGCGGAGGACGGAAACGCGCGCGCGAGGACGCCCACGACGGCCATGTCCCTCACGACCCCGGACCCGAACGCGCCGTCGCCGTCGCCGTCGCCGTCGCTCCCGCTTTCCCCCCCCGCGCCGGCGCGCGACGGCGACGGCACGTGCCCCACGACTTCGCTGTCCGCGTTCATGAGATCCGCCACCTCCTCGATCAGCTCCCTCCACCGCGCGTCCCCCACGCGCGCGATGTCCTGCAGCACCCACACCGACGGAACGTCCGGGGCGTACCCGGCTTTCAGAAGCGCGTCCTCCATGTCGCCGTACTCGTACGTCGTCGACGTCGTCGTCGTCGTCGTCGTCGTCGTCATCGTCGTCGTCGCGCCGTCGCACGGGACCCGCCGCACGGAGCATCCCCTCGGCGGCTTCGCGCCGACGTTCCTCAACACGCGCGTCGCGTCGTCGTGCACCTCGCGCTCGCACACCTCGAACACCGCGGTCCCGCGCGGCCACGGGATGCGGAACCCCCGCGTGTCGTACCCGGCGCTCACGACCACCACCTGACGCATCGTCGCGAACACCTCCTCTCTTCTCGCCACCTCCGTCCGCTCCATAACCGCCTGGAGGCGGTCGAACGCGAGGTGGTCCAGCGCGGCGGAGATGGTCCCATCGGACAGGCCGAGGATCGACGCCTCCGCGGCGGCGACGTCGTCGTCGTCGCGGCGCGCCTCGAGCAGCGCTTCCGTGTAGACGTCCGCGACGACGCGCGACGCGTCGTCGGAAGAGGAGGACGCGCGCCAAAGGAGCGCGCGACGCGCGCGCGCGAGCGCGCTCGAGGGCGGGGACGCGTCCTCGTCGTCGTCGCTCGCGGCGTCCTCCGCGGCGTCGTCCGCGAACGGGCTCGCGGTCGCGGTCGCGCGCGCGTCGCCGCGGCGGCGTCGCGCGAGGTTTTCGACGCGTCCGCGCGAGGGATGCCGACGCGCGCGTCCGCGCGCGTCGCCGCGACGACGCGCCGCGGCGGAGGCGGCGGCGGCGGCGACGACGCCGGCCGCGCGCGCGGGACCGGTGCGCGCCGCGCACGCCGCGGACATGCCGGCCGCGCGACCGCGCGCGGTCGCGTGTCCGCGAGAGGCGTCGCGGGAGCGGCGTCGTCGCACCGACGCGACGACGACGATTCAGGTGCGTTCTATACAAAAGTTTTTCACCCACTGCTCGGTTTCAACACTTGATCGCGTCCCCTTTCAACTGACCGGTGAACTGTTTTTGTAGGAACGACCCTCAGCTCGGCACTGCACGGCACCTACACCTCAGCTGTTCACTGCACGGTTCTCGAGATCGATCGCGCGCGTCGTCGTCGTCACCGCGCGACGCGACGCGCCGCACGGCGAACGCGACCCGACGTCTCGGGACCCGCTCGCTTCCCGGACGCGATGCCGCCGTCGCGATGCGTCCCCGCGTCCGCGCCATCCCTCATTCCGCGCGCGCGGTCGCTCGTCGCCGCGACGGCGCTCCTCTGCGTCGTCGTCCTCTCCGACGCCGTCCTCCCCGCGCGCGCGGACCCGATGCCGAGGGAGGTGTTGGAGTCACTCCCGGACTGGGAGGAAGACATCGGGCTCAGGCGCGCGCTGAAGTGCAACGGTGCGTCGCGCGTTCGCGTCGCGCGCGCGCGGTTCTCCTCGGCGTCGGCGTCGAACGGTCATGTCGCCTTCGCGTCGTTTCGAGAAGATTCGAATCGCGCCGCTGACGTCCAACCGCCCGTCCGTCCTTCCCCACTCTCGTCCACAGCGTGCGCGATCGCGGTGAACGAGCTCGTGGAGAACCTGAACGCGAAGCGCGCGAAGATGCGAAGGAAGCTCACGACGGACGAGGCGATCACCGCGCTCGAGCGCGGCTGCATCACCGCGAGGAAGGACTGGGGGCTGCAGATGCGAAACAACAAGTGCGTCGTCCGTCGCCGCCGCGCGCGCCGCCGCCGCGGCGTCTTCGTCGGTCCTCGTCCATCCCTCCCGCGGTCGCCGATCCCCGACGCGTGTACCTGGATAACCCTAAACCCCGAACCCTAAACCATCGCCTGCCCGCCCGCTCGCAGGGTCACGCCGGTGTACAGCAACGACCACACCGTCGCGAGGGCGGAGGGAAGCTGGATCTCCACCTTCGTCGTCAACGCGTGCGGGGAAGTCGTCGGCGAGCACGACGAGACGGTGTTGCACGCGTGGAAGTCGAACACGCCGCTGCTCGAGCTGCAGGGACGGGTGTGCAAGACCGGGAAGCACGGCGCGACGGGCCCGGGAGAGGGTGACGGTTCGAATTCTAAGATCGACGATTCGTATCCAAACGGGTTGGGCGTCTGCCCGGCGACGGCGGACATGTCGCTCGTGAACACGCACGACGACGGGTGGAGCAGCTGGGACGGACCGCAGCACAAGAAGGGCGGCGCGAACACGCCGGTGCAGAAGAATCCGCCGGAGATGAAGGTTGAGCTGTGATGCTGTGTAGCGCGCGAGGAGCGAGCGCACGGGCGCGGTCGAGCGGAGCGCGCGGCGCGGCGGCTCTCTCTCGAGAAAATCCACCGGTGGACGAAGGGTTGCTGCGGTTGTCAGCCGAAACGCGAAAATCCGATCGCCGCCTCTCGCTCGTCGGCCCGGTGATCGATCGTACCGTCCGCCGTCGTCCCCGGCGCCCCGCGTCACACCATCGGACGCGCCTCGGCCGTCGCGGGCGGATTCTCACCTCCGCGCGTCGCCGTTCGAAGTCCTCGTCGCGTCCCCGCGTCGCGTCCCCGCGTCGCGCTCTCGACGGCGTCTCGGTCCCGCGCGCGCGGCGCGCCTTTATCCATCCACGCGGCACGGAGGCGATGATGTCCACGTCGACGCTCCTCCGATCGCGCGCGGCGTCGCCCGCGGTGGGCGACGCGCGCGCGCGATGCGCGCCATCTCGCGCGCGCGTCGCTTCGTTCGCGGCGAGGAACGCGTCGTCGGCGTCGTCGTCGACGACGACGACGCCGGCGCCGGCGCGTCTCGCGTCCTCGACCGCGACCGCGCGCGGCGCGTCGCCGACGGCAGCCTCGTCGCGCGTCCTCGCCCCGAAACTCCTGTCGCCGCGATCGACGCGCCGCGGCGTCCTCGTCGCGCGAACCGCCGCGTCTAGAGAACCGAACGGCCCGAACGCATCCGCCGCGGACGCGGTCAACAACGGCCTCGCGTGCTTTCAGCTCAAGGACTACGACGGCGCGGTCGCCAACTTCACCGCGGCGCTGAAGGACTTCGGCGCGCCGAGCGAGGACGAATCCCGAGCGGCGTTGTACAACCGCGCGTGCGCGTACGTGAAGCAGAAGAAGTACGACGACGCGAAACGAGACCTGACCGCCGCGGTGAACGAGTACAAGCTCAAGTTCAGCGTCGTCTTGAGAGACCCGGACATGGAGGTGTTCCGAGGGACGCCGCAGTACGAGGAGATGGCCAACGAAGAGGTGGCCGGGTTTCGCTCCAACCGCGCCTTGTCCAACTTGCGCGCCGAGGCGAAAGAGCCGTTCCGGTTCTTCAAGCTCTACCTCTTCGGCGGGCTCGGCGCGGGCGCGTTCATCGGATTGATCATCATCCTCTCGAGGCTCGCCGCCGCGCTGCAGGGCGGCGACGACGCGCCGGAGTTGAACGAGACGCTGAAGAACCTCGCCGTCAACGCCGTCGCCGTGACGACGTTCGGCTTCTTGCTCAGAGGCGAACTCGCGGAGCGCGAGAAGACGCAGGAGAAGGTGGCGCGCGAGGAAGAGATCGGGCGGCTCCGCGTGACCGTGGACGAGAGAGGCGACGACGTGACCCTGTCCGCGCTGAGAGGGAACTACCGCGTGTTCATCATCGCCGGATCGGACGAGCACGTCGAGGAGACGGTGGCCGGTTTGAACAAGTACAAGGCGCTCCTGAAGGAGAAGGACGTCGTCATCGCGACGGTGGACATGCTGACGGGGGGCAAGGGGAAGAAGAAGCGAGCGAAGAAGGCGACGCCCGGGGCGGGGGTGGAGGCGTTGAAGGCTGAGTTCGCCGCCGCGCGCGGCGAAGGCGGCGGCGGCGGCGACGGCGGCGGCGCGGAGGGCGAAGACGCGGAGGAGGAGGAGGCGCCGGAGATGCAGTTCGGGAAGCGAAGCAAGCGCGCGGAGGTCGCCGCCGCGGCGTCGCGCGTCACGGAGAAGCGCTGGAGGGTCGCCGCCGTGGACGAGGACGTCTGGCGCAGGTGGATCGTGTCCGAGGTGGAACGAAGCGGGTTCGACGTCACGGTCCGGGACGTGTTCTTCTCCGTGGGGAAAAACGGCGAGCTGTGGAAGTCCGGCGCGGGGACGCCGAACTGGATGAAAATAATCGAGGATCTCCCGTCCGGGGTTGGCGCGGAGGTGACGGGGATCTAGGTGCGCGCGTGAGCGCGAGCGAGTGCGCGCACAGTATTATGCGTGCGAACGTCACCGCGGCGCGGTATTTCTGATTTGATCTTTGATCGATCCTCGTATCAAATTTTTCTGTCCCTAAACCCCGCGTCCCCATCCCCGTGCTCCCCGTGCTCCTCGCGCTCGAATACCGATCTCGGCGCCCCCGCCCGCGACGCGATCACGCGGTCAAACCGAGGAGGTCGCTCAACGCGAACACCGGCGTCGGCGTCTCCTCTTCCTCTTCCTCTTCCTCGTCCAGGATCTGCGCGACGAACCCTCCCGGAAGCACTGCCGCGCACGCGCTGTCGCACGGCGAGAACGTCTGTATATCCGGCACGTGCCGAATGATGAACCCGCGAAGCGCGAGCACGTTCGCGTACACGCCGTATTTCCCCGGCAGCGCGCACCCCTCCCCCCACGACACGATCCCCACCTGCGTCGGGACGCCGCTCTCCAGGGAGACCAGCGGCCCGCCGCTATCGCCTTGACACGCGTCCGTCCCGCCGTTTGGCAACCCCGCGCACATCATGACGTCCGTCACGGTCAGCTGCGTGCTCGGCGGGCCCGGGTACGAGCCGCTCGCGACGCAACTCGACGTGGACACGACGGGGACGGACGCCTCCGCGAGCGCGCTCGCGAGGTCGCCGCTCGAGGTGGTGCCCCAGCCCATGACGACGGCGTCGACGCCGCCGACGTACCCGGCGGGGTTCCAGTTCAGACGCACGGGCGGGTACACGGAGACGTCCACGGGGGCGGAGAGACGCAAGACGCTGTCGGGGTCGTTCCATGCGATAAAAGTTCACCGGTCAGTCGAAAGGATACAGACGCGATCGAGTGAGTGTTGAAACAAAACACGTGTGCGGTGGGTGAAACACGTGTGCACAGAACGCACGTGATGTCGTTTTCAAACGTCGCGCCGACGTATCGCGGGTTGCCGATGATCTCCTCGACGTCGACGTTCAGCGCGTCCGGGGCGTCGATGTCGCCCCACGCCCCGAGCTTGACGCGCATGAAATCGAACGACCCGACGTTGCTGGTCGTGCCGTCGCTGAAGTAGCAGTGCGACGCGGATAAGACGTGCGACGACGAGATCAGGGACCCGCCGCAGCGGAAAGACTCCGGCGAGGAGCACGAAGCGAACGTCGGGGTGGAGTTGAAAGGCGTCAGGTGGAGTTGAAAGGCGTCGAGGGCGGGTATTGAAAGCGGGGGATGAACGGAGAGAGACGACGGCAAAAGTCCTTAAGGATCGGCGTTCACCACGCGAACGCGGTCGTATGGGGACCAGTGTATAGAACGCACCTCGCGCTCCTCGCCGGACGCGAGCGTCGTGACGCCGACGACGGCGACCGTCCACGGGTACTTGTCGGGCGGGGAGACGTCTACGCCGTTGATGATCCGCGCCTGTATCGGGACCGGCTCGGGCGCGATCCGATGGCCGTATTGGACGTCGAGTGGGACGTCGGACGCGTGCAGCGCGACGCCCGCGGCGTAGGTGTCGAAGTCGACGTTTCTCGGGCGCGTCTCGACGGCGGACGGCGCGGACGGCGACGCGGAGCGGGTCCCGTCGTCGTCGTCGACGCGCGGGCGCGGCGCGGAGACGAGCCGCGGCGCTGTCGCGGCGACGCGCGCGGTGCGCGCGCGCGCGTATCGTCCGGTCGTCGTCGGCGTCGTCGGCGTCGGCGGCGTCGTCGTCGTCGTCGTCGGCGGCGGCGTCGTCGGCGTCGTCGTCGTCGTCGGCGTCGTCGTCGTCGTCGTCGGCGTCGTCGTCGTCCGAGAATAATAAGACGCGCGGCTCGCGGCGTCGCGCGGACGCGCGTCGCGCGCCGCGGGGCCGTCCGCGGCGACGAGCGCGCACGCGGCGAGGAGGAGCGCGCACGCGAGGAGCGCGGGAGGTCGCGCGCGCATGACGGCGGCGTCGGCGTCGGCGGCGTCGGGAGAGTGGCGCGGCGGGGGGGGGAGAACGTCGCCGATACGAGCGCCGTGACGGAAGAGCGGCTCGATACCCTCGCCCGTTCCCTCGGACGGCGCGACGAGGATCGAGAGAAATCCCGACCTGCCGGGGAAACCACGCCTCATCGGGTGCGCTGCCCGCCTCGGGGCGACGAACGAACAGTACTGTACAAGATACAAGAAGCAAATTGTTCTGTTTGGCAACGCACGAAAAAAACTGAATGGCTACGTAAAGAAACGCACAGAAGGTCCTCACTCCTCCTCGTCCGCGACCAGCGGCGTCGGCGCGCTCCCCGCAGCCTTGCATATCCTAAACACTATCACCGTCCGCGTCTCCTCCCCCTCCCCCCTCACGATTTCCTTGTCAAACTCCGGGACGAAGTACACGTCTATCCCGTCGTCCGCGAGGTATTCGCGGGCGCGCGCGACGGCGAACACCGCGTTGGACACCGCGTCGGCGCCGCACGCGCGCGCGGCGACTTTCATCCCCTGCCGCACTTTCCCCGCGATCGCGCCCGCGAGCGTCGCGGGGTTGGTTCCGCTCGCGATCGTGAGCGTCGCGTCCGCGGCGCCCGCCCACGGCGCTTTCGCTTCTTTGTCGCACTGCATCGAGACCGCGCGCTTGGAGTCGTCGCGGAAACCCGGGAAGCACGACAGGAACGTCGGCTCCCACTCGTCGTCGTCCGCGGCGTCGTCCAGAAGCGCCGCGGGTCTGCGAAGGAGGTCCCGTCGCGCGATCGCGATCGCTTTCGTCGCCTGGTTGACGCACGCCGCGCCGAGGGGGAGGAGCAGCGGCGCCTCGCCACAGCCGCCGTCGCAGACGAGGGCGATGCTTCCCGCGAGTTTCTTCGGGGGCGTCGTGGACGACACCTTGAGCGTGCGCTCGCCGCTCGGCGCGTTCGCGATGTCCGCGACGGAGACGCCCTTAATGTGGTTCACGCCGTCGCCGTACGGCGTGTCGTTTCGCGGGTTACGCCGGCGATGCGACTGGGATGGGGGCCGGGACGAGTCGCGTCGACGTGAGAAATTGGCGCGGGAGAATCTGAGCGCGATGCGGAGACTGCCGGGCACGCGGACGACCGCACCTTGCCGCCGTGACCGCCGCCGTCTTTCGACCTTCGACTCGCGATGATCTCGTCGAGGGGTTTATCGAGGGATATTGATAATTTGAGGGGTTGATCGAGGTTTCCCGCCATGCCGCGCGGGTGCGACGCGCCGCGTCGGAGTGGGCGGTTTCACTTTCCAATAAATGTTTCAACGAGCGCGTAGTTCGCGACGAGTGCCAACTCTCGTCGTCGTCGCGTTCCCCAGCAGTTCGTCCGCGCGCCGCGGCCGGCCGTCGGCGCGATGGCGACCGACGCGACCGCCGCGCTCGCCGCGCCCAAGCTCACGACGCTGCTCGTGGTCGTGAGCGACGGGAACGTCCTCCTCGGCGAGAAGAAGCGAGGCTTCGGCGCCGGCTTGTGGAACGGATTCGGAGGGAAGGTGGATCTCGGCATCGACGCGTCCGTCGAGCACGCCGCGCTGAGGGAGCTACGAGAAGAGTGCGGGATCGACGCGCTCGACGCGACGAGACGAGGGGTGTTGACGTTCCACTACGCGGACGCGCCGAACCCGATGGAGACGCACGTGTTCCACGCGTCCGCCTTCGAAGGGACGGTGGCGGAGAGCGACGAGATGAGACCGGCGTGGTTCCCCGAGGACGCGATACCTCTGGAGAAGATGTGGCCGGACGACGAGCACTGGTACCCGGCGTTCTTGCGAGGGGAGAAGTTCGTCGGGACGTTTTGGTTCGATCGCGAGAAGAAGATCACGAGGCACGAGCTCGAGGTCGTGGAGACGCTGCCGGCGAGAGCGGACGGACTATGACGACAGACGCGACGCGACGCGGCGGCGTGCCAACTTTGCCGCGGTACGACGGCGGCGGCGTCGCGCGCAGCTACTCTCAGAACATCTTGAAACACTACACGTACGACGGAGACGTCTACCGTTCCTTCTTCTTTTTCTTCTTCTCGTGAAACTTCTCGACGCCGCCGTCGCTCGCGCGCTTGAGCGCGTCCCTCTTCGCGCGCTCGGGGTCGTAGTACAACCCGCACCCGCTCGATTTTTTTTTCTCACCGTCTCCTCCTCCTCCTCCGCCGCCGCTCTCGCGCTCTCTCTTCGCCGCGATCTTCCTCGCCCTCGGGTTCAGACGCTTCTGCAGCCGCTGCTGCTGAGGCAACGCGTCGTTCACGTCCGGCAGCGTGCAGTTGCTGTGCGGCGAGAACTTCTTCATCCACCACGCCCTCACGTCCGCGTGCGACGCCACCCCGGCGAAGTCGACGTACCAAAAAGTTTCGAAGGGCGTCGTGCCCTTCGCCCTGGTCCTGTCCTCGTACCCTTTCCGTCCGGGGGCCCAGTACCGGTACGGCTTCAGCTGATCGGGGATGAGGAACAGCGGTTTCGAAGACGCCCCGATCGCGGGCTCGTAGTACTGCTTGCGGCACACGAAGTTCGGCAGGAGGAGCAGCCAAGGCTTTTTGGATTTCCCGCAAAACGACAGGATACGCCGGAAGTGGTCGCCGCTGTACGGCGGATTCGTGAGCAACACGTCGTGCTCCGGTATCCGCTTCTCGTCGATGCACTGGTAGAAGTCTTCGTTCCGGTTGATGACGTTCGCGAACCCTAACCGCGCGAGGTGTTTAACGACGGACCCTTCGCAAAAGTACGGGTCGTAGATGACGAGCTTCTCCTTTGGTTTTTTCAGCGCGAGCGCGACGCGGAACAGGAACGGCTCGACGTCTTGGTACGCCTGGAACGGCGTCTCGCAGTGGTCCGCGGCGTCGTACTCGAACGGGTGATCGCTCGCGACCGTGGGCGTCGTGAACTCCGCTCGGAGCGACAGATGCTTCGTGAGATTCTTCTGTCGCGCTTTTTTGTTTTTGCCACCAGATTTCTTTCCCTTCCCTCCCGCGTCGGCGTCGTCGCCGCCGTCAACGACGGCGGTCTCTTTCGTCTTTTCCTTCTTCTTCTCCTTCTTCGTCGCCTTCTTCACTCGCTCGCCGCCGGCGCCGACGCGTTCGGCGTCGCCGTCGCGACGCGCGGAGACGGACGCTTCCGGCGCGTCGTCGGGAATTTCCCCGGCGCCGCCGCGAGATCGCCCGTCCTCGCTCCTCGTCGTTCGCTCCTCCTCCGCGCGGGCGTTCCAGTTCACCCCGGGACGGATGACCCCGCGCAGGCCGCCCATGCGAGCTGCTCGGCGAGGACGCGCGCGTCGGCTCGCGCGCTCGCGCGCGTGGCTCGCGCGCGGGCGAACGGCGAGCGAGGAGGACGAGTCACGATGTTTCGAAGCTGTAAGTTATTTCACTTCACGACGACGGCATCGGCATCGGCGCGAAGAACCCGGCACCGCCGCCGTCCGGCGGCGGCGGATGCCCCCCTCGCCCCATCCTGTCCTCGCGCACGTTGATCTCCCGCCCCATGAACACGGTCCCGTTCCCGTACACTATCGCCCGTCGCGCGGACGCCTCGTCGTCGAACCGAACGATCCCCCGGCCCAAGCTCCGGCCGGTGTCTCGATCCCTCGCGACGTCCGCGAACGACACGCGTCCGAACCGCGCGAAGTGGTCCTTCAGATCTTGCCACCCCGCCTCCCACGCGACGTTGCTGACGTACAGCGCGAACCCGCCCTCGCCGTGGGCGTGCCCGCCGCCCCCAGTAACGCCGACGCCGAACGGCGGCGGGACACCCCGGGAGGGGTCGCCGCCGCCCGACGCGCCGCCGCCCAGCCCCGGCCCCGGCCCCGGCCCGGGCCCCGGCGCGCCGCCGCTCAGCGCCATGTGCGACATCATCGCGTGCGGCGGCGGCATCATGGCTGCGGCCGCGTCGGGATGCATCATCGACCCGTCCGCGTGCATCAAAAAATTCATCCCCATCGGTGGTCCCATCCCGTGGGCGGGCGGCGCGTTCATCATTCCGGGATGCATCCCGGGACCCATCCCGTTCAAAGACATCATCAACGCGTGGTGGTGACGCCGCGCCGCGTCGTCCGCGGGGCCCGGGCCCCACATCGGCGGCGGCGTCGTCCACGCGATGTTGTCGTATCCGCCTCGTCCGTCGCCTCGTCCGGGCCCTCCGAACCGCCCGCCGTGGAACCTTCCCGGCGGCCCGCCGGAGCCGCCGCCAGTACCGCCGCCGCTCGCGTTCCGGTCGTACTGCGGCCGTCGTTCCGTCGGCGGCTTCACCTGCGCGGTGGCGACGTCGCCGTCGAATTCGATGCGATGCAGCGACGACCCTCCCGCGACGCCGCCGCGGCCGTCCTCGCCGACAGCCTCGCCGTGCGACAGCGCCGCGAGCGCGGACGCGTTGTCCGCGTACGTCACGAAGCAGAACCCTTTATGCGGCATCGGCAGGTACACGTCCGTGACGTCGCCGAAGCGCGCGAAGTGCGCGCGAATCGCGCTCACCGGGACGCGCTCGTCGAGGCGTCCCACGAACACCTTCGTCGTCTCCGCGAGATTCGTCACCCGCGGCGGGAGGATGTCCAGCCGTCGGCCGTCGACGACGTGCGTCTTGTTTAAGACGTCGACGGTGACGTCCTTGCTCGCGAAGTTCACGAACCCGAACCCGCGCGAGCGCCCGTCGCCGCCGCGCTTCACCGTGCACGTCGTGACCTCGCCGAAGCGCTCGAAGTACGCGCGGAGGGACTCGTCCGTGGTCTCCCACGCGAGCGACCTGACGCACATGTCCGCGCCGACGTTGTCGTTCGGCTTGGGCGCGGATGACCCTCGACCGTGTGGGGAGGACGTGGGCGAGGACGGCGAGCGCGGCGGCGGCGGCGGCGACGGCCCCCCGGACGGCGGCGGCGGGGCCCCGGACGACGCCCCGGAAGCGAATTCTTCAGCGGGTTCGGAAGGAGAACGCGCGCCGCCGTCCTGCGCTCTCGCCATCGCGCCGTCCGCGAGCTCGGCGTGCGTCTCCGGCGCGAGCGCCTCGACCGGACGACTTTCCTGGACGTCGCGCGTCATGGTATCCGCCATGTCTCGCGCGTGGGACGACCCGCGCGCGACGCAGTGCGTCGCGGGTCGCCCGCGCCCGCGCCAACCTGTTTCGAGGGTTTCGGTTCGAGACATCCGCCACGTCAGCGTCACGCATCTCGCGCGAGTTTCGTTTCGCGCGACGGATGGATGGCAACCGACGGACGCAGTGCATCGCGCGCGGCCGCGGACGCGCGGAGGATGACGCGCGAGGGCGACCGCGACCTGACGCGGGTGATCGTCGCCGGCGCGACGTGCGCCATCTCCGCGTGCGCGCTCACGACGCTGTACTGGCGCGCGGTCTATTCGTCGTCTTCAAACAGCTCGTCCAGATCCGTCGGGGAAGACGCATCTTGCCGCGACGACGCCGACGAACCGCGCTCTCACGACGCGACGAGCGCGAGGAAGAAGCGACGCGCGAAGAAGAAGGCAGCGGCCGCCGCGGGCGGCAGCGACGGCGGCGTCGACTCGCGCGCGAGCGACGCGGACTCGGACGCGGGAACGACGTCCTCATCGCGCGACGCCGCCGCGCCGCGCGAGCCGACGCGAGCGGTCGTGGACCAGCTCGTGTCGTTTCACTTCGGAGGCGAAGACGACGTCCTCGGTCCGTTCGCGGACGCGGCGGACGCCCCGCGCGCGGCGCTGCGGTTCCACGCGCGTCTCGCGGACATGTGCGCGCGACACGCGAAGAGCGCGAAGCTCGGGAAGCTCGGCGCGCCGGTCGCCGGGCTCGCGCTCGACGTCGGGTGCGCCGTCGGCGGCGCGTCGTTCGAGCTGTCGCGGCGCTTTCGCCGCGTCGTCGGCGCGGACGACTCGAAAGCGTGCGTCGCGGCGGCGTCGCTGATGAAACACCGCGGACGGCTGCGGTACGCCGCTCGCGCGGAGGGCGACATCGCGGAGAAACTCGAAGCGATCGTCCCCGCGCACGTCGACCGCGAGAGGGTGGACTTTCGCGTCGTGGCGGACGTGAGCGCGTTGCCGCCGTCGTTTCGCGGCGGCGGCGGCGCGGCGGGGCGCGCGTGGACGCACGGGTTGCACGACGCCGTCTTGGTCGCGAACGCGCTGTGTCGGATGTCCGACCCTCTCGCGTTCTTGTCGCAGTGCGCGCGGCTCGTGAAGCCGTGCGGCGTCCTCGTGCTCGCGTCGCCGTACGACTGGTCCGAGGCGCGGACGCCGCGAGAGAAGTGGTTGGGGGGACGGGCGGGGACGGAGACGGGGACGCGCGCGGACGGCGGCGGCGGCGTTCGGTCGTTCGACGCCCTGCGCGACGTCCTGACGAGCGAGGACGGCGGGTTCGACCTCGTGTGCGCGAGCGACGTGCCGTTCCTCGTGAGGGAACACGCGCGGAAGTACGCGTGGGGGGTGTCGCACGCGACGGTGTGGCGACGGCGCGAGTGACGGACGCGAGCGAGGGACGCGCCGCCGCCGCCGAAAGCGGCGACGTCCGCGACGTCCGCGACGACGACGAACGAACGAACGAACGACGCGCGAGATCACGAGACGAGCGCGCGGTCGCGCGCGTGATACCACATTCTCTAGCTAGCTATGCCGCGCGACCGCGGTCTATCGCCTAATTCCTATCGTCGTCGTCGTCGTCGAACGCGTCGTCGTCTCCCTCCGCCGCCGCCGCCGCCGCCGCGCGTCCTCGGCGCTTCAACCGCTGCGGCGCGATCGGGTGGTACTCCCGCGTCGCCGCGTCCTCGGCGATCACCTTGTGCTGCCACGCGAAGTACCACAGAAGGTCATCGAAGCAGTGGCACGTCCCGTCGTCATCGTCCCCGCGCGCGTCGTCCCCGCGTCCCCCCCCGTCCCCATCCCCGTGCGTCCCGAGCGCGTCGTGGAGCTCGCGGAGAAAAAAAAACAGCGCCTCGATCGAGCACACCCTCTCGTCGCCGTCGTCCTCCCCTCTCGCCTTGAGCGCGTCGCGCGCGTCGCGCTTCTCCTGGCTCTTCGGCTGCGGGTGGAACCTCCAGAACGACGTGCGGTGGCGTTTGAGGGACACGCGCGGGAGGTTTCTCAGGCGCGGCGAGGAGGCGATCAGCGACGCGCCCTGCCACTTGCTGTCGATGATTACGACCGCGCGGACGCCGCCGCGTTCGCGTTCCCGTCGTTCCCGCTCGTCCGTCGCGTCGCCGTCGCCGTCGCTCCCGCGCGCGAACCCGGCGCGGCGCGCCGCGACGAGCTCCGCGACGGACGTGGCATCCTCGGACGGGAACATCAGGACCGCGTGTCTCGGGTCCAGCGCGGGGACGTCGCTCGCGGCGCACAGCGTGACGCGATCGGGGGACGACAGCGCCGCGTGCACGCCCGTCGCGTTCGACGCGCGCTGTCGACGGTCGGTGACGAAGTAGACGTCGCACGGCAACCGGACGCGCGGGAACGGCACGAGCGGGAGGAGGCATCCGTGGCAGAAGAACCGCCTCGACGCGGCGCACGTGGGGCACGTCGCGCGCCCGCCGCCGCCGCCGCTCGAGGACGCGTCCGCGAGCGGCGCGTGCGACGAGAGGCGCAGATCGCGATGCAACGGCGGGAGCGTGAAGTCCGGGCGGCGACGAGAGATGTGCACCTTTCCGCCCAGCACCGCGACGAGCGCGTCCGTGGCGTCGTCGCCCTCCTCGCGCGCCGCCATCGCGCGGCGACGCGACCGCGCGCGTGGACGAGTGCGTCCTCGGTCTCGAGCGATGCCAGATGAAAAAAAAAACCTCGAGTCCGAACGAAACGACCTGGAAAAAAACGACGGCGAAAGCGCCGGCGCGGCGAGGACGCGCGCGACGCGAACGATTGAAACAGCGCTTCTCGATTTATAAATAGCATGTACTACGCGCGAGGTGATAACACGCGCGCGCGCGCTGTTGCGTCCGTTACGGTTCGAATCATCCTCCTCACCGCTCCTCCTTCGCCGCGTCTCGACGTCGCGGCGACCGTTTCCCCGGACCCACCGTTTTTTTTTTTTTTCATCCCGCAAAATCTCATCACGTGAAATTCGTGCACGTCAGAGTAAACGTCCCCGCCGCGAGAGTCACGACCGCGACGTTATACCCCGGGTTACTCACCGTGATTCTCACGGAGTTCACCGCGATGACGTGCGCGATCGCGTGCGCGTCCCCTAACGATCCTGAGAACGCGACCTGGACGACGTCCGATAAGACCGCGCCCGGGACGTGCACGTCGAACGTGAACACAGCAGACGGGTACAACGCCGGAACCGTGATCGACGCGGTTGTGATCTTCAGGTGCTTGTTCGTCACCGCCGCGTTCGCGTCGCGTCCGATTTGGTGCTTAAACGTCTCGACGAGGCCGTGAAGTTTCGTGAAGCCGTCGTCCGCGCGACGTCCGATGACGACGGAAGACGCGTGATCGACGCCGACGTTGACGTGACCGGTGACGGCGCCGCCGAACGTTTGCCCGGGTTCGACCGTGACGTTTCCAGCGACTTTCCCGGTGAAAACGGAGCCCGCGGAGATGTTGACATGTCCTCCGTTCGTAGAGAAGGAAACACCAGCGCCTACGGTCACGTCGCCGCTCGCCGCTCCAGTGGCATCTCCGGAAATCATAGTCACGGAGCCCGATGCGCCGGCGGTGGTCGACCCGGTCGCCAAAGTCATGGACCCGCTCACGCCGCTCGTACCGGCGTTTGCTGACTTCACGCTCACGGCGCCGCTCGATGTTGCCGTGCCGACGCCGCTCACCACGGTGATGCCGCCGCCTGTGGAACTAACGCCGACGCCGCCGGTCACGGTCACGCCGCCGCCAAGGGTTGCACCCTGGCCCGCGGTCACGCCCACGGCACCTCCCGCGGCCGCACTGGACTTGCCCGCGGTCATGCCGATGTCGCCGCCTGTGCCCGTGTCGCCTAAGCCCACGGCCACAGTGAAAGCGCCACCAGTGCCGCTAGTACTCGCACCGCCAGTCGTCACAGCAACACTCCCCGAGTTGCCGCCGGTGGCAGTGCCCGTGTCCATCGTGAACGCTCCCGACACACCAGCACTCGATGTCCCGGTCGCCAAAGTCATGGACCCGCTCACGCCGCTCGTACCGGCGTTTGCTGACTTCACGCTCACGGCGCCGCTCGATGTTGCCGTGCCGACGCCGCTCACCACGGTGATGCCGCCGCCTGTGGAACTAACGCCGACGCCGCCGGTCACGGTCACGCCGCCGCCAAGGGTTGCACCCTGGCCCGCGGTCACGCCCACGGCACCTCCCGCGGCCGCACTGGACTTGCCCGCGGTCATGCCGATGTCGCCGCCTGTGCCCGTGTCGCCTAAGCCCACGGCCACAGTGAAAGCGCCACCAGTGCCGCTAGTACTCACACCGCCAGTCGTCACAGCAACACTCCCCGAGTTGCCGCCGGTGGCAGTGCCCGTGTCCATCGTGAACGCTCCCGACACACCAGCACTCGATGTCCCGGTCGCCAAAGTCATGGACCCGCTCACGCCGCTCGTACCGGCGTTTGCTGACTTCACGCTCACGGCGCCGCTCGATGTTGCCGTGCCGACGCCGCTCACCACGGTGATGCCGCCGCCTGTGGAACTAACGCCGACGCCGCCGGTCACGGTCACGCCGCCGCCAAGGGTTGCACCCTGGCCCGCGGTCACGCCCACGGCACCTCCCGCGGCCGCACTGGACTTGCCCGCGGTCATGCCGATGTCGCCGCCTGTGCCCGTGTCGCCGTCGCCCACGGCCACAGTGAAAGCGCCACCAGTGCCGCTAGTACTCGCACCGCCAGTCGTCACAGCAACACTCCCCGAGTTGCCGCCGGTGGCAGTGCCCGTGTCCATCGTGAACGCTCCCGACACACCAGCACTCGATGTCCCGGTCGCCAAAGTCATGGACCCGCTCACGCCGCTCGTACCGGCGTTTGCTGACTTCACGCTCACGGCGCCGCTCGATGTTGCCGTGCCGACGCCGCTCACCACGGTGATGCCGCCGCCTGTGGAACTAACGCCGACGCCGCCGGTCACGGTCACGCCGCCGCCAAGGGTTGCACCCTGGCCCGCGGTCATTGAGATTGCAC